CTCCCTTCTCCTCCTCCCCCTCCTCCCTCCTCCTCCACTCCAAGCGTGTCCACCCCTCGCACCCCAGCCTGGTTCGCGTTGTTCGCGTTCGCAGAAGCTTTCATAAGCTCTCAGAGGCCTCTCAGAGGCCTCTCGCAGCCTCTTAGAAGCTTTCATAAGCGCTCAGAGGCCTCTCAGAGGCCTCTCAGAAGCCCCGCAGAAGCTCTCAGAGGCGTCTCAGAAGTCTTTCAAAGCCTCTCACAAGCCTCTCAGAATACTCTCAGGAGCTTCTCAGAAGCCTCTCAGAAGCCTCTCAGAAGCCTCTCAGAAACCTCTTAGACGCCTCTCAGAAGCCTCTCAGAAGCCTTTTCAGAAGCCTCTCAGACGCCTCTCAGAAGCCTCTCAGACGCCTCTCAGAAGCCTCTCAAACGCCTCTCAGAAGCCTCTCAGACGTCTCTCAGAGATTCTACCGGGAAATCAATCGGGGGAAGGGTTGTACCGGGGAATGTCAGATTTTCCCGGAAAGTCAGATTTTACCGGGGAAAGTCTGTTTGTCCTCATGCTCCTCTCCCTCCTCCTCCTCCTCCTCCTCCTCCTCCTCCTCCTCCTCTTCCTCCTCCTCCTCCTCCTCCCATTCCTCCTCCTCCTCCTCCTCCTCCTCCTCCTCCTCCTCTTCCAACTTCTTCCTCCTCTCCTCCTCCTCCTCCTCCTGCTCCTGCTCCTGCCCCTGTTGCTGCTCCTGCTCCTGCTCCAGCTCCTCCTCCTCCTCCTCCTCCTCCTCCTCCTCCTCCTCCTCCTCCTCCTCCCTCCTCCTCCCCTTCCTCCTCCTCCTCCTCCTCCTCCTCCTCCTCGTCCTCCTCATCCTCCTCCTCCTGCTCCTCCTCCTCCTCCTGCTCCTCCTCCTCCTCCTCGTCCTCCTCCTCCTCCTCCTCCTCCGCCTCCTCCTCCTCATCATCATCCCCTCCTCCTCCCTCGCCCCTTCACTCGCGGCAGCACTGGGAGGAAAGGGAAGAGTCGCTTCAAGGAAGGAAGAGGGCGAGGGGGAAAGGCAGGTAGAGGGGGGCAGGAAGGAGGAGAAGGAGGAGGAGGAGGGAGGGGGAGGAGGAGGAGGAGGAGGGGGAGGAGGAGGAGGAGGGAGAGGAGAAGGAGGAGGAGGCGGAGGGAGGAGGAGGAGGGGAAAGGTTGAGAGGGAGGAGGCCGTGGAGCAGGATGAGGAGGAGGTTTAGGAGGGCGAGGAGAGGAGACGTGGAGGGAGAGGCGGGCGAAGAGGCAGGACAGCAGGACGACGGGCTCGAGTACCGGCCTACTGAGCCCAAATCTGAAGGCCTGCGGAAGGAACAGTACAAGAGTCGAGGAGCAGCGCGCCAGGGGAGGAGGATGGGGAGGCGGAGGAGGGGGGAAGAGAGGGAGGAGGCCGAAGTGGCGGATGGGGAGGCGGGGAAGATGGGGAGGATTGGGAGGATGGGGTGGAGGATGGGGAGGAGGATGGGGAGGAGGATGGGGAGTAGGATGGGGTGGAGGATGGGGACGAGAAGGAGGAGGGAATGGGGGGAGGCGTCTGGCCGAGGACAGCACAACCCACCCCCCGCCCCCCCCAGCCCAGGACTCCCGCTCCCGACCTGGTGATCCAAGGGGTCCTGGCCAGGGGTGAGGGTGGTTTGGGCTTCCAAGAGCTCGCCCGGCAAAACACCTCCACTCCCAGCCAGGACCCCCTGGATCACCAGGTCGGGAGTGGGGGTCCCGGTTTGGGGCGGGGATGGATTGTGCTATCCTCACCAGCAGCGTGCGTATCAGGTTCCGAGATCGCCCTGGGTTGCTTGGCCAACGGGGATTGGGATGCCTAAGATCTCTCCAATTCGTCTTTACTTGCTCTCGCTCTCTCTTGCCCTGTCCCTGCTCTATGGTTGCGCCTAATTGTACATGACATTTGGACCTTTGGGAAGAGGAGGAGCGCACGTAGCTTGCGTCCACGGTGACTCAGCTACCGCCAGGGCCCTAGCATCGCATCGCGACGGGGGCTGCGGCTCGTATTTCGTAATGGCAGGCGGGCGTGGCCGCTCTTGGCCTGCCCGCAAGGTCGGCTTTCAGCTTGTGGTAAACATGGAGCAGAGGAGGAGGAGGAGGAGGAGGAGGAGGAGGAGGAGGAGGAGGAGGCTTCAAAGAACCCAACAACATACACATTCACGTTCGGAGCTCCGCGCGGATTTCCCGGCATCGGCGCCGGACTCTCTCCCCCTGGCGCGCGGTGCGCGCCGGGAGCGGCGCTAGAGGTGCCGCCAGGGGGAGAGGCCAGCGCCGATCCAAGAACGCCGCGCGGAGCTTCAAGAGTTAAGTCGGGCGTGTCCCCCTGCAGGGGGATTTTCCACGAAAAATATAAAACATACCCCCAAAATAAACCAAAGCTGTAAAAAAATACCCAAAAAGTAATCCCCTGACTATTTTTGTACTATTTTTGAATATGCCCCCTGTAGGGGGACAGGCCCGACTTATCCAAGAGCTTATGTTTCTGCCGTTGCTCGTCCTTGAAAGAGGAGGGCCTGCCAGAGCCCCACTGCACCTTGCACAGGCTGAGGAAGGAGGGCGCTGCGCCAGGGGAGGCGGAGGAGGGGGGGCAGAAGAAGTGGGAGGAGGGGCGGGGTGAGGGGGACAAGGGGGAGGATGGGGCAGGGGGAGGAGGAAGGACTGGAGGAGAGGAAAAGAGGGGGGGAGATGAGGACTGTCACGCCGAGATTAGTACGGAAAAGAGGGGCACGAGGTACGATACCCAACCGACAACTGGCAGCGGTCGCTGCCGGTTGGGCAGGCGACCTTGTGTCTCAAGTTGAGATTGTCCGCGGCGACATCGACAGCACGTCGTGTTCAAAATTGACCGAAACTGCTGTTGGCTACCGCCTCAAATCTTTCCGCACAAGACTGCGACCAAACGACCGAACAACAAGAACTGGCAGGGACGGTTGAACAAACAGTTGTTTCTCGTGTGGGTCGCTGGCAGCGGCCTGGTGGCCTCGACGACGAACCTGGAATACTGTCTAAATCGCCCACTTCCGAATGGGGTTCTGCGACCATCCCGGGCATTTCTGAACCGCTTGGGCGCATTGTCAACTTCGATCGTCCCGAGAGGAGGCGGGAGGAGGATGGCTGCGCTCGTTACCGAATCCCAATAAAGCCCGTGCTGAGCTCTACAGGGGAGGAAGGGGAGAGAGGAGAGAGGAGGAGGGCAAGGAAGGATGGAGGAGGGAGGGAGAGCAAGGAGGGAAAGGGGGGGGGGAGGGGGGGGAGGAGGAGAAAGATGGGAAGCAGGAGAGGGAGGAGGAGATGGGAGGGAGGAGGAGGGGAGGGGGCAGAAGGGGGGAAACAAGCTAGTTGCACTCGCGCCTCATCTGGCAACCTATCCCTCCTTTCCATCCCTTCCCATGGCGTTAATGTTTCTCTATCCGCGGACGCGTGTCATAGCCGACCCGCGACTCCCACAGAAAGGCCACGGCGTGCTACGCGCAGTCGGAAAAAAGGAGCCGCGTGCACTGGAGGAGGAGCAGGAGGAGGTGGCGGGTGAGCAGGACAAGGAGCGGGGGGAAAAGAACGACAACGAACCGCAGCAGCGCGAACTAAAAACGGAAAGATCGAGAGACACAGGGATGGGGAGGAGGAGGAGGAGGAGGAGGAGGAGGAGGAGGAGGAGGAGGAGGAGCAGGAGGAGAGGAGGAAGAGGCGAAGGAGGAGGAGGCGAAGAAGGAGGACTAGAGAGGAGGGGAAATGAGGGGGGCGACGACGATAAGAGAGACTCAGATGCAGCGAAATGTGACCCCGAGCCACCTTTTTTAGCTTGCCCGCCCTAGGGCGAGAGCGCCATTCTGACCGACGGCACCAAAGCGCCGATCCGAACACGAGACCCATGCTGCAGCGGGAGCACCACTTTCAAACACCGAAGACAACCGGCACGCAACAACAGAAAACATAAGACACATCAACTCTTGCAAATGCTGCGTAAAAACACTTACTACGAGGAAGGGGTGCGGGAGACCTTCCGGACAGCTTCAGGTGATGAGGGAGAGCAGAATTCAAAGCGTTAGATTGCTACTGGTAGGGGGTGAGGGAAGGGCGGGGGCGAGGCAAAGAGGGGAGGGCCAGACCCCCGCCGCCCTGATGTTGCCAGATGCGTCGACCCCCATCGGGAGCGGCCAAGAGGGGGGGGTGCAAATCATGGCAGGCGGCATGTGCGCAGCCCAGGGGGGGGACCAGGGACGTAATGAAACAAGAAGAGGCGCCATCAAATCTGGGGAAATATCATGACCCCCGCCATGATATCCCCCCCCTAGTCATCACCCCCCTAGAGGGCTCGACCCCTTCCCCGGGACCGGCTTCTCCTCCTGAGCCGCTTTGTGGACGGCGCCGAGGCAGGGAAGGGCCCCCCTGGAGGCCTTAACAAAGCAAAATCAGATCCGGTCGTAATTTGTTCACCTCGCGAGGGAGTTGTTGTTGTTGTTGTTGTTGTTGTTGTTGTTGTTGTTGTTGTTGTTGTTTTGTTCCCCCCTTTTTGTTTTTCTGTTGTCTTGTTTGTTTATTGTGTGTTATGCTTGTTCTTTTGTTATGTTTGCTTTTCCTTTTTGTTCCTGTTTCTTTTGGAGGGAGTCTGGGGAAGGAGGGGGAGGGCAGGGCGGTCTGGAGGGACCCCCCCTTTTTTGTCTCTTGTGTTTTATGCTTGTTAGTTTGTTGTTGTTGTTGTTGTTGAACATTATTAATTCTAAAGAATAATTATTGTTGGGCCCCCTGGTGCACGCCCCCCCCCCCGCGCCTAGGCCGCAGCCACATTTTCATAATTTTCGTGAGGAAGTCTCAAGTAAAACGATGTCATCCAGATCCGGTTGTTTTGTTGACGCCCGCTTTCCCTGTCAAAAAACACTATAAAATGACATGTCTTGTTCTAACATAACCAAGCTTCAAGAATCCTTTGCAAAAAATGACACGAAGTGCACACTCGCGCGCGCAAGATGAAATCCTTCCAAAACCTTAGTTTTCGTAGCGATTTTAACATAAAAACATGAAAAACCCAATGGTTTTTCAAAAAAAAGTTTCAAACAATCATCTTGCGCGCTCTTGCGGATTTCTGAGGAAACCCAATATTTTTTCAACATTTCTGTCAAACGGGCTCTTGCGAGCAACTTTTTCACGTGCTTCGAACTTCTGCAACAACGGTTGCGCGCATGCCAGGGCCATCATCCCTGTCAAATAATACCATATTGGACACATTCGTTTTTTCTTCGCGCGCGCACGCCGTCGTCGTCGGCCGCGGGGCCCTGAATAGTAGCCACGGTCGTCCGCATGCCACGAAGTGAAGTGTCCGAACGTCATAGGGCGGGAAGCTGGGTGTGGGTGGTGGCGAAGAGTCGTTTGGAAATTTGGTAGAGCTTGAACCGGCCCCCCCACAAAGTGGGGGTATTGCCCGCCTCCTATGAAAACCCTGGCACTGGTGAGAACGGAGTGTCCCCACGTGCTTGTTGTTGTTGAACATTATTAATTCTAAAGAATAATTATTGTTGGGCCCCCTGGTGCGCGCCCCCCCTGCGCCGCCTAGGCCGCAGCTACATTTTCATCATTTTCGTGAGGAAGCCTCAGGTAAACGATGTGATCAAGATCCGGTTGTTTTGTTGTAATCCGTTTTCCCTTGCAAAAAACACTATAAAATGACATTTCTTGTTCTAATATAATCAAATTTCAAGAATCCCTTGCAAAAAATAAGGTAAAGTGGACATTCGCGCGCGCAAGACGAAATCCTTCCAAAAGCTTAGTGTTCGGAGCGATTTTAACATAAAAACATCAAAAAACCAATGGTTTTTCAACAAAAAAATGTCAAAATCTCATCCCGCGCGCTCTTGCGGATTCGTAGGAAACCCAACACTTTTTAAACATTTCTGTCAAACGGGCTTTTGCGAGCAACTTTTTCGAACTTCTGCGACAACGGTTGCGCACCTGCCAGGGCCATCATCCCTGTCAAATAATACCATGCGGGACACATTCGTTTTTTCTTCGCGCGCGCACGCCGAAATCTCCAAAAACCATTGGGTTTTTAAGAATTTTAGCTCCGCGCATCATAAAATCACACGAATCGCACCGTGGGTTAACAACTTCTGTGGGTTAACAAGGCTTAACAACTTCTGTGGGTGTACGAACGTAGGCAACTTCTGTGGGTGTGTACTCCACGCCAGTGTAGTAGCCACGGTCGTCCGCAGGCCACGAAGTGAAGTGTCCGAACGTCATAGGGCGGGAAGCTGGGTGTGGGTGGTGGCGAAGAGTCGTGTGGATATTTGGTAGAGCTTGCACTGCCCCCCCACAAAGTGGGGGTATTGGCTGGCGTCGCATGAAAACCCTGGCACTGGTGAGAACACTGAGCGTTCGGGTAAAGTGATTGTTGTTGTTGTTGTTGTTGTTCATTTTTGGCTCCTGTTTCTTCTGGAGGGAGTCTGGGGAAGGAGAGGGAGGGCAGGGCGGCCTGGAGGGACCTTCCCCCCCCCGGCCGCTCCTGCAGCTGCGCCCTCACCCGCGCGAACGCCGCGCGCACGCTGGCGCGGCCGCGCGCCGCGGCGCGCTCCACGTCCTGCGCGCGGGGGTCCGGGCTTCCGGGGGCCGGGCACTGCAAAATTGGAGGCCTGGAAATTGGCACCAACACCAGCACAGGGGTTTGCCTCCACAGGGAGATGATGATCTTAGATTTCGGTGTTGGTGGTAATATTTCGGTCACCTTGGAAGCCAGAATATTACCACCATCACCGAGATCGGGATCGTCTTCCCTCGGTGGAGGCACACCGCCGATCTTGGTGTTGGTGTCAATCTCTAGGACTGCGACAAAAGTCAGGACGTCGCTGGTCCGCAGAAACCCAGACATCGGGCGTCTCGACAAAAATCGAGGCAAAAAAGTTGTTCACAGTTTTTGGGCCTCGCGGGGCCCTCGCTGGGCCTCGGGAGCGTCAAGTTACCCCGCGACGTGCCCAACACTTCCTATACATGTGGCGATTCCACTCAGGACCACTCAATGCTGACGGGCATGCTGACAAACCCGCAGTGCGGAAGAAGAGCACCCAGCAGTGAAATCGGAAGAGCGCAGCAAGAAAAGCAGCGGCAACGCGTCAGACGTACCTCCGCTGGGCCTCCCATGAGCCCACGAAAGTGGCGACAATTGCGCAGATCGCAGCCCCCCAGGAAGCCGCGAGGTCTCGAGGTGGTCCGCGTGGGACGTACTTCCGCTGGGCCTCCCAGGAGCCCACGAAAGTGGCGACAGTTGTGCACATCGCAGCCAGGTCTCGAGGTGGTCCGCGTGGGACGTACTTCCGCTGGGCCTCCCAGGAGCCCACAGAAGTGGCGACAGTTGCGCAGATCGCAGCCCCCCGGGGCGCCGCGAGTTCTCGAGATGGTCCGCGTGGGACGTACCTCCGCTGGGTCTCCCAAGAGCCCACGAAAGTGGCGACAATTGCGCAGGTCGCAGCCCCCCATGGCGCCGCGAGGTCTCGAGGTGGTCCGCGTGGGACGTGCCTCCGCTGGGCCTCCCAGGAGCCCACGAAAGTGGCGACAATTGCGCATTCGCAGCCCCCCGAGGTCTCGAGGTGATCCGCGTGGGACGTACTTCCGCTGGGCCTCCCAGGAGCCCACGAAAGTGGCGACAATTGCGCAGGTCGCAGCCCCCCATGGCGCCGCGAGGTCTCGAGGTGGTCCGCGTGGGACGTGCCTCCGCTGGGCCTCCCAGGAGCCCACGAAAGTGGCGACAATTGCGCATTCGCAGCCCCCCGAGGTCTCGAGGTGATCCGCGTGGGACGTACTTCCGCTGGGCCTCCCAGGAGCCCACGAAAGTGGCGACAATTGCGCAGATCGCAGCCCCCCAGCAGCCGCGAGGTCTCGAGGTGATCCGCGTGGGACGTACCTCCGCTGGGCCTCCCAGGAGCCCACGAAAGTGGCGACAAATGCACAGATCGCCCCCCCCAGGGCGCCGCGAGGTCTCGAGGTGGTCAGCGTGGGACGTGCCTCCGCTGGGCCTCCCAGGAGCCCACGAAAGTGGCGACAGTTGCGCAGATCGCAGCCCCCAATGGCGCCGCGAGGTCTCGAGGTGATCCGCGTTGGACGTACCTCCGCTGGCCCTCCCAAGAGCCCACGAAAGTGGCGACAATTGCGCAGATCGCTCCCCCCCCCCACCCCACAGGGCGCCGCGAGGTCTCGAGGTGGTCCGCATGAAACGTACTTCCGCTGGGCCTCCCAGGAGCCCACGAAAAAGGCGACACATGCGCATATCGCAGCCCCCAGGGCACCGCGAGGTCTCGAGGTGATCCGCGTGGAACGTACCTCCGCTGGGCCTCCCAGGAGCCCACGAAAGTGGCGACAAATGCACAGATCGCCCCCCCCAGGGCGCCGCGAGGTCTCGGGGTGATCCGCGTGGGACGTACCTCCGCTGGGCCTCCCAGGAGCCCACGAAAGTGGCGACAAATGCACAGATCGCCCCCCCCAGGGCGCCGCGAGGTCTCGAGGTGGTCAGCGTGGGACGTGCCTCCGCTGGGCCTCCCAGGAGCCCACGAAAGTGGCGACAGTTGCGCAGATCGCAGCCCCCAATGGCGCCGCGAGGTCTCGAGGTGATCCGCGTTGGACGTACCTCGGCTGGGCCACCCAGGAGCCCACGAAAGCGGCGACAGTTACGCATATCGCAGCCCCCAGGGCACCTCCGCTCGGTCTCCCAAGAGCCCACGAAAGTGGCGACAGTTCGCAGATCGCAGCCCCCAGGGCACCGCGAGGTCTCGAGGTGATCCGCGTGGGACGTACCTCCGCTGGGCCTCCCAGGAGCCCACGAAAATAGCGATAACTGCGCAGATCGCTCCCCTCCCCCCCCCCCCCCCCCCCCCCCAGAGTGTCGCGAAGTCGCGAGGTGATCCGCGTGGGACGTACTTCCGCTGGGCCTCCCAGGAGCCCACGAAAGTGGCGACAGTTGCGCATATCGCAGCCCTCCGGAGCGCCGCGAGTTCTCGAGATGGTCCGCGTTGGACGTAGCTCCGCTGGGTCTCCCAGGAGCCCACGAAAGTGGCAATAGTTGCGCAGGTCGCAGCCCCCCATGGCGCCGCGAGGTCGCGAGGTGATCCGCGTTGGACGTAGCTCCGCTGGGCCTCCCAGGAGCCCACGAAAGTGGCGACAATTGCGCATTCGCAGCCCCCCGAGGTCTCGAGGTGGTCCACGTGGGACGTACTTCCCCTGGGCCTCCCAGGAGCCCACAAAAGGCGACAATTGCGCAGATCGCAGCCCCCGATGGCACCGCGAGGTCTCGAGGTGATCCGCGTGGGACGTACCTCCGCTGGGCCTCCCAGGAGCCCACGAAAGTGGCGACAGTGGCGCAGATCGCAGCCCCCAGGGCACCGCGAGGTCTCGAGGTGATCCGCGTTGAACGTAGCTCCGCTGGGCCTCCCAGGAGCCCACGAAAGTGGCGACAGTTGCGCAGATCGCAACCCCCAGGGCACCGCGAGGTCTCGAGGTGATCCGCGTTGGACGTAGCTCCGCTGGGCCTCCCAGGAGCCCACGAAAGTGGCGACAGTTGCGCAGATCGCAGCCCGACGGCACGAGAGAAGAGGAGAGGGGAACACAGGAGACAGGAGAGGAGGAGGGGGGAGGAGAAGAAGGAGGCCGGGGCGACCACACTGCTTGCATCGAAACGAGTACCCAACCATAGGAGGGTTGGGGAAAACGACTCGGGATGAAAAACCGGTCCCGGGGAAGTGGTCGGGAGGTCGGGGACCCGCGTCTCGAAAAAATCGAGACGTCGGATATTTGCAGCAAGTACCGATACTGCTGCTCCCCGGACCTCTCCCGGGGTGCGCTCTGACCAGGGGCGAGCCCAGCAGAGGCAACGAGGGCCTCCCATGGAGGCCCCCAAAGGGGGAAAGCGAGGCAAGAGTAGCGCGCTATGCATGGGTACATTTGCCTCGTCAGCGTTGCGGCCCTCTCGCAGACGAGGTTCCGGAAGGCGGCAGGATCAGTCTTCAGTGGCAAGACATGGGAGCCTCCCATGCCATCCTTCTGGTTCTTGCGCGTCGACGCTAACCGACACTAAGTCCGTGTTCTCACCGATTACCAAAGACTGGAACACGCCAATGCACTCTAAACGTGGAATTTCCAAGACATACACGGCTCCTATGGGGCACGAACAATGACATAAACATAACAACTCGGAGATCCGCACGGATTTCTGGGATCGGAGCTGGACCCCCCTCCCTGCCGCGCGGAGCGCGCCAGGGGCGGCGCCGGAAGCGCCGCCAGGGGGCCCCAGCGCCTATCCTAGAAATCCGCGCGGACCTCCGAATTAGTATGTTTATGTCATTGTTCGTTCACCTATCCCATGATTTGCTACCCGATCAATCGACATCGAACCAGTAAGTTGGATCGAATCGAAATGTGAATCGAAACGGGCGGCATCGGCACGGAATCGAAACCGAATCGCATCGGCTGCGCCAAGATTAGGACGAGAAAAATCGATTGACACAACGGGCTATGGATACGTTCCGGAGATTCCGGGATTTCGAACAGCCTCCGCGCGGGGTACACTTTGCGTCGAGAATCGTCTATTCTGGCTGGCGCCGCTGGTCGGTCGCCCATTCGCATTCCCATTCTGGCCGGTCGCTGTTGTGCATTCTAGATGCACAAAAGCGCCATGCAAGCATCGAGCCGCAGCGGATCGTCGGCGTGTCGGAATCGACACGGCTCGGGCTGGCCAGAATCGATGTCGCATCGGATGGAATCGCATTGAAGCCCGAAGGAGGAGGCTGAGGCTGAGACTGAGGCTGCGCCTATAGCGTAATGCGGGATGACGTTTAATAAAAAATGGAAGAGAACGATTCAAACAAAAATTTTCTGTTATTTCTGCACAGTTTTCTGACTGGGGGAGAACGATTTTAAAACAAGTTTTCCAGCCTGCGGCCAGTTTGTTCTAATCGTCATCCCGGGCGCCGCCGCGTGAACACGACCCCCGGTCATTTATTAATCGTCATCCTCCATTAGCAAGGGGGGCGGTCCTTTGCGGGGCTGGGCGGTGGCGCTGGGGCCCCAGAGTCAGATACAATCGGGGATCCCGTGGTTGCGTCGCTGTGCGCTGTCCTGCGCGGAACGCGTGCGAATCCTCCGAATCTGCGGGGAGGAGGGGGAAGCGTGAAGGGAGGACCCCATACCCTCCTCTCGAGGCCCCCCCCGAAACTCGCGACGGGTGGTTTTGACAATTCTGAACCTTCGGGGGCCCTCACTGGGCCCCGGGACCGTGAAAAGCCTGCTCGGGACGAGACGCCAACCGGTCCCGCGGCAGGCGTCCAGATTTCGGGAGGGGGGGGGGGGGCACGTTCCGAGAGAAGCACATCAGAAATCGCCAGGTTCGGGGAGGAGGGGGGGGAGGGGGATCCAGATTTCCGACGACGTGACTTGTGAAAGCGGCGGGTGTTCCTCGATGTCGCCGCTCTGGGGCCGTCTGCGGGCCCCAGGACCAGCAGACACAGATCAGGACCAAAACCTGGCCACAGGGCAGCGGTCGGGACCTCTGGGGCCGCGTGATGAAAAAAACAAATGGCACGCGTGCCCTGGCTCTTGCACAAAGGAGCTGCGAAGG